TATATATATAAATATATAAACATATATCTGTAAAAATCACTTGTGACAAACAGTGCTTGTGATGTTGAACTTTTATTTTCAATAGGATAGTTTTAGGCTTTTATGTTTGTTTGTAATATAAAAGCTAAAGTTTTAGGAGTTATTAAACAAAAAAGGAAAACACAAACAGTGATAATTTTGAACACTGAGCATACTAAGGCCTGAAAATGTAATTACTTGTCAACAGTTTATATTCAGAAGGTCATCTCATGTGACCCATTTCTTTTGAAGCTGGACAGTCTCAAAAGAACATGATATTGAGGCAAAGTTGTTATTAATTAAATAAAATTGGGGAATTTCAGGCACTGATCTGGAAAGAAAAGAACGAAGGTGTACTTTTTTCTTTATGACTAGCAATAGTTATCAATATTTATTACAATTATAAATAACAAATTTTAGGTTATATATGGGATTTTAACAATATCTAGTTTAAAAAGTTAGCTTAACCTAGGAAGATGCATGATGGGTGTGTTGACAGGTGGAAAATCGGATCAGGCTAATTAGATTTAATACATGTATTTAAGAGAAGTAATACTCCTGGCTCAAACCATCAGCTGCTGGACGGAATACTTCAGGGCTTTTTCCTTGCTTATATAAAATTTGAATATAGTAGGCTATGAAGTTCTGGATGGATTGGTGTGTTGGAAACGCAAGAAATTTATAAACCGAATAGATAGCAAGGATTTTGTGTTTTTATATATTATGTAAGAATTAGTTCAGAAATGGAATAAACAAATGCTGAGCCAAGCAGATATTTTTTTTCTTTAATGCTAGTACAGATGCATGGATTGTAAGAGATCTTTTTGCTGCGAGTAGGAGGGAAAAATCAGTTTTCATCTTTACACAGTAGTTTTAGCCTAAATTCTGGAAAGGTCAAAGGTTTCACTTGAAAAAAAACTTTAGGCGGTTCTGACAAAAATGTTTTAGGCTATAATTAAGCTTAACTGTTAAAATTACATAAAATTAGTAGAAAATATATATTCATTAGCAAAAACTAGATTTATAATAGTCCAAGCTCCCATTATTTCTTGCCTTAATTTGCAAAAATTTTTTCTGTTGCTGCCTCTCTCCTACTTACAGGATCAGTTTCCAGTTAAACTTGGGAAACCCTTTATTGATACGCTTTTTGTTTTCACACAAGCTGCTTGCTATAGCTGTGTTAAATAAGTCTTCAAACTGGGGTACATTGAGCTTTTGTAAGTTACTAATAAATGTACTCTTATCCTCTTCGAAGGACTTTGTTTAGGAAGTTCTGTGCCTCTTTCTGATAATCTCATTTGATAATATAAAAATCTTGTTCATTTGTATGATTTACATGGACTCTAAATAGCCCCCTCCCTTTTTTTTTCCCTCCCCCCCCATTGCTTTTCCTTTTGGGAAGGAGTATATCTACTGGGAAAAATGGGGCGATCTAACTCTAGATCACATTCTTCAAGATCAAAATCCAGATCTCAGTCCAGCTCTAGGTCAAGATCCAGATCACATTCTAGAAAAAAGAGATACAGGTAAATTGATATCTTACTGCATGAAAAGTTGGTTTAGTATATTGGTTTTTTTGTCTGGAAACTTATTTTTTCACTTGCATAATGCTTTTGCAAAAGTCGACCTGGGATCTCCTTTCATTTTAGGCGATAGGTAAATTCTGCTTTGGATATAATTTCTGTTAACTGTACTGTTTTGCTTTTTTCCTGTATCTCAAGAAAGTTTCAGAATGCTATGGTTCTTCCTGATTTGTGGTTTGTTTGATTTTCCTCTTCATATGATGTTTTCTATGTCCAATCTCTTTCTGTGATTTGTTCTGTCTTTCTCATGTAGCTTTTCACATCTGGAATAAATTAAGGCTCAGCAGACAAGCTTTGCTATATCTCACTGATTTTAATCACCTTCTCAGTTGCCTTCAGCCTTTTCTTCTTTCTTACTAGTGGATATTACCAGCTCCCATAATGGGAGTAGCTGAATTAAATATTCACGGCCTCATCAGCTGCTGCAGTCCACAGGCTGGCATATTAAATTAAACTGGAGGTGATGTAAGTTCATAACTGTGAACTGTGGTGGCTGAAGTACTGAAAGCTGTGCTGCTGAGTGGTCATCTCTAATAAAGTCTTAGGGCGGGCCACTGAGACTGGTGATAAATTCGGCATCACCTCATTAAGACTAGAGTTTCACAGTCCTTAGAGTGTAGATATATTTAATGTAATCTGTTATGAGACAGGAAAAGCTAATAAAGGTAGATTGCAGAATTTACATTATCTCTAAGACCAAGACCTGCTCCTTTTATCATTCAGGCTGCATGTGAATGATTTAGGGTTTAGTATAGAGGTGCCTTTTCTTTTTTTCTCTCCCACTCCTCAATTGTCAAACGTTAATGTGTGCTTTTTAATTTTAGTTCTAGGTCTCGGTCAAGGACGTATTCACGATCTCGCAGCAGGGATCGTGTTTATTCTAGAGATTATCGCAGAGATTACAGGAATAATAGAGGAATGAGACGCCCCTATGGTTACAGAGGAAGAGGTAGAGGGTATTATCAAGGAGGAGGTGGTAGATATCATCGTGGAGGTTATAGGCCTGTCTGGAACCGAAGACACTCCCGAAGCCCCAGGCGAGGCCGTTCACGTTCCAGAAGTCCAAAGCGAAGGTCTGTGTCTTCCCAGAGGTCCCGGAGCAGATCTCGTCGGTCTTACAGATCTTCCAGGTCCCCAAGGTCCTCCTCATCTCGTTCTTCATCCCCATACAGCAAATCACCTGTCTCTTCCAAAAGACGTGGGTCTCTGGAAAAGCAGGCAAAGAAAACTGAAGGGGCTCCTTTGCAAGATAGCCCTTTGAAAAATAAATCACAGGATGAACAGAAAGATACATTTGAACATGACCCATCAGAGTCTCTTGACGATTTTAACAAATCCTCAGCAGCTTCTGGCGACATTTGGCCTGGCCTTTCAGCATATGATAACAGTCCAAGGTCACCCCATAGTCCTTCTATTGCCACCCCACCTAGTCAGAGTTCATCTTGCTCCGATGCCCCTTTGCTTAGCACAGTCCACTCAGCAAAGGACACACCTCAACATTCCCATTCCATTCAGCATAGCCCTGAGAGGTCTGGCTCTGGTTCTGTTGGAAATGGTTCTAGCCGTTACAGTCCTTCTCAGAATAGCCCATTGCATCACATCCCTTCGAGGAGAAGCCCTGCAAAGACAATCCCATCACAGAGCGCTCCCCGTGAGGAGGCTCGAGCACGTTCATTTTATCCTGAGGCTGGTGAACAGGAAACTGCAAAAGGTGGAAAGTTTCTGAAAAGGTAAGATTTGCACTATAAAACTAATGTTGCATTTTAAAATGCTGTCTATTGAGTTTTGACTAATCTTCACTGTGCCTTGGAAAAAGCAATATGCGATACTGTTGAATGTTTTATTAATTTTAACCTGGTTATAGTTGAGCTTAAAACGCATGCCCAAGATACTCTTGGCCATTAGCTAGTAAAGATAGGGACCAGTATCCTTTAGGAAGAACTGATTTGTCCCTTTCGTTTACAATATATTTCCTTATAGTCTGTTAAAATCTTAGTTGGAGTAGTGCATCATACTTGCTTGTTTGACAAGGTGAATTCTCTTTAAGTACTTTAAGCTTCTAATGCTTCATGTAGTTTGAAATGCAAATCTGGAAGTCTGTGAAAACCCAGATGTCATGCAATGATTTCTTTATTAACATAAGCAGCATTCATTCCTAATTGTGTCATGCAATATGACAACTTAGATGCCTTGACTTGCATTACTTAGGAAAGAGGGTAGGTCTTGGTATTCTTGGAACGTGATTCTAGTGATGTGAAGGACAATTTGTTTAAACTTGAAGGTATATTTCCAGTTAATGTGAAGTTCTTAAATTTATTCTTAATGTTAATGGCTGATGTTTTTGATATAGCAATAATTGGGGGGAAAAAAGTTGTGAAAACCTTACTGACATTAGACTAGTCTTCTCTGTTGTGACTCTTACTTCAGTGGATTTCATATAAAATGAATTATAGAGCAAAGCTGTGTTCTGTGCTAAGTAGATTTGACTGCATGATTTTAAATGAATTTGTCCAGTCAGTGATTTATTAAAAATATATGTGAAATATACTGCTAGAACACCGAAAATGTGACTTCCTCTACGTTAGGTGTATTGTAGCTGGTATATGTATTAGGACCTATGTGAAAATCTTGTAGAGAAAAGGCAGTGGCTAAAATAAGCATTAATTTCTAAATGTGTTCCTGTGTTTAGGTAAGCTGCTTCTTAAAGGTTCCCTGCTTGTGCACAATACAGTGAATGAATAAGCCAGTGTCAAATTTCGGACCTCTCTTAGAAGTGTCCAGGATCTTGAAAATGCTTCACCTTTTTTTTTTTTTATGATGCTCTTAACCTTTTTTACTAAAAGGAATTCAGAAATGAATTGCAGTCTGAACTGCCAAATTTTATGCAACTCTGACAAAATAACTGGTGTAAGAATATGTAAAGTTGGGTACCAGTTAAGAAAGAACAAACAAACCAGTAGCCTTTTTTATAAACTCAAGCAGAGAATTTCTAGGTGTTCTGCAGAAAAGCATTATTTTCTTCAAATAATACAAATGGCCGTGGATAGGGTATTAACTCTGTGCAAAAACTTAAACACTAAGGGTGCACTACTCAGTGGAATGTGTTTTCTTCTTGTTGGTGTGGGATTGACACAAAAGAGAAATGCAAGTGATGAAGTGGAATGAATGCAATCCAGAGTTACCAGTCTCTTCTTTGCTATCCACAGGTACACAGATGAAGAGTCTAGAGTATACCTGCTTGATAGGGGTAATACCAGGGAGAAGGAGGCCCAGAAGGAGAGAGGATCAGAAAAAGGGAGAACAGAGGGAGAAAGGGAATGGGAGGATCAGGAAGCTTTAGATTATTTCGTTGATAAAGAGACCGGGAAAGAAAAGTTTAATGACTCTGAAGGGGAGGACACAGAGGAGACAGAGGATTATAGACAGTTCAGAAAATCTGTCCTGGCAGATCAGGGTAAAAATTTTCCTACTGCATCTCACCGGAATGCTGAGGAGGAAGGAGCCAAATACAAATCTAAAATATCAATGAAGGGCAATAGAGAGAGCGATGGATCTAGAGAAGAGAAAAGTTATAAGCCTAAAGAGACTGGCTATGTAGTGGAAAGGCCTAGTGCAACAAAAGATAAGCACAAGGAAGACGACAAAAGTTCTGAGAGACTAATGGTGAAGAAAGAAACTCAGTCACCTGAGCAGGTAAAGTCTGAAAAGCTCAAAGAACTCTTTGATTACAGTCCCCCTCTACACAAGAATCTGGATGCGAGGGAAAAATCCACCTTCAGAGAGGAGAGCCCACTTAGGATCAAAATGATAGCCAGTGACTCCCATCGTCCTGAAGTTAAACTCAAAATGGCACCAGTACCTCTTGATGATTCCAATAGGTAAATTACTCCACTTTAAGTAAGGTTTTCCACCTGCCTGCAGTGTCACTGCTCTGTATTTAAACTAGTGGTTTCTTTTTGTGTGTTCTTTTTGTTGTCGTTGATGCGTTTTAGACCTGCATCCTTGACTAAAGACAGGCTGCTTGCTAGCACACTTGTCCATTCCGTCAAGAAGGAGCAAGAGTTCCGATCCATCTTTGACCACATTAAGTTGCCACAGGCCAGCAAAAGCACGTCAGAGTCATTTATTCAGCACATAGTGTCCTTGGTTCATCATGTCAAAGGTATGTATCCAGTTTACTGTACCAAGTACACACACCTGACAACTGCATTTAAGCCTGTTTGATGCCTCTAGTATAGGAAGACTTCGACCCTCTTTTAATATTGATTTAGTCAGACTTTTTTCTTTTGAGGTACACATAAAAGTAACTAAAAAAAATAATAGCAGCAGAAGCTAGTATCCAAAAAAAAAAAAAAAACCCAAACCCAAAATGTAGAGCGTAAAAGCGGTTATACTAAGTTCCTAGATAAATTTTATTGAGTTTAAATACTGTATAAAATTTTAATTTTTGCATTGAAGTTTAAATATACTGTGTTGGTCAATCTTCTTTAGGTTGAATTTAATAGTTTTTAACATCTAAGTTAATATTAAGCAGTGCAATTTGTGTTGACAGGTGTCTTTGGTACTGTTAATACAATGGCATCTCTTATTGAGGCACCCCAGAGGTCATTTCAGGTGCTTATTAGAGGTTTCTTTTTTAGACCTAAGGAAGAAAACAACACTTAACAAAAGTTGTGCTCTATATGATATCAAAATACACTGTGAAATCTCATTTTATTCTTATTTGACAATGGTAGTGTTGGAGCCAGGATTTCCACCTGTAGGAACTTGGCAGTGGCTAAATACACCTCTGTTAAATGAATTATATGTATATCATATTTTCTGGTTCAACAGTAGTGGCAGTTGCTTACTATCATTAAGTTAAAACAACTCATTGGGAAAAATACCAACAAAGTAGATGTATTCCATTGAGGTCACAGATACTGTCAAAGTTTGATTTTAAGATTTTGATTGAAGAATTGATAATTCCTTTAAATCCTGTGAAGGCGTCTAGAGTGCTCTTTAAATGAGCATTAGCTTATAGCATTTCTTATCATTTCTTATAGCATTTACCTTATTTCACTGGACTGTTGTCTTACTCTTGTTTAATGTACTGAAATAATATGGAAGAATTTGCTGATGAAAATAGTTCTACGGTATCAGCATACAAAGGGGGAATGTGGAAATGCTTAGTTAGGTGCCTAGTTTCAATTGTTTCTGAAGATGCTTAGCTGCTAAAATTGCAAAGATTTTTGTGCTAAACGTGTATGCTAAAGTTCCCTCAAAATTCTCATTTCGTTGCCAAAATAAATAACTTTAGGTGACTAAGGCCAAGTGTTTTTTATGGATTTTGAATTACTTGCAAAGAGGAAAGTAATAGTAGATTATATTAGATTTTTTAAAAAACCTTGTTGGAACACTTGCTTACAGTATAATGATTTTGTTATGAAAGTATCTTTTCTTTTATTGATATGTAAGAGATTTAAGGCTCAATCTAATGAGAGCTTTTGTAAATCTTGGCGTATATGGTACATGTGTAGGCTTTAGGTGGTGAAATGTTCCTGAGACTCTTACATGTTGATTCACAGAATGCTTAATTTGTTTTTCTGTAGACATTTGTATGTTAAATTAAATGAATACCTGGTAAATATAACAGTTTAACAGACTATCTGGTCACGTTACTCAATATGTAAAGTTATCATGGTTTCTGAAGGGAGAACCTCTCTATACGTTTCAAATTTACTGTGGTCTGTGATCAGATTTTAGTAACTCTTTTGACAAATTGAAGTTATGTTCATTATTGGTGTGATGCGACCAGTCTGAACAGCTCTTTATTAATGTAGAGCTGAAAATGCCCAGTGATGTTTTCTTTTTCATTGTAACTAGGTCCTGGAATGTGTTTTGAAATGGCAAAATCCATGTTACAAAAGTAAAATAGCTGTTGAAAGATACAGATGCCAAACAGGCAAAGTTGAACCTTCTGTCTTCCTGGCAAAAATGGCATAAAAACAGAGTTGCTAGCTCAAATTCCTGTGTTTGATGGAATTATGATTGAGGCACTACCCTTGTAGTGGCCGTTTCAAGTTTTAATGGTTGGTTATGAGACAAATGCTGGATGCCGGGCGGTAAGTTGATACAGATGTATGTTGACCTGTTAAGCAGATAGCTTGCTTCATATGTAACATTTCATAGTTCATGACTTTATGTATTTCTATATTACATTTAAACACATTTGTTGAGCTGGTTTAAAAACTGAGTTTTGCTGTTGCTAATTTAACTGTCTCTGAAGGCAAGAGAAAATTTGTCAGAGAAGCCCTCAGCTTTGCCAAGATGCCAGATGCTTAAATAAAACTATTTACATATAGGAGTGTTACTTGTCTTGGATTGTTTATCATCACAACTTCAAATTGAAAAATTGTATATCTTTAAGAAATAACTTGCTAGGTCATTCATGTAATTACCAAAACATACATTACTCAGTGTTTTCACTAAATTAATTATATTTTAAGTTAAAGATGAGACGAATTGTAAAATGTGCTTCTTGAAAATATTCATGGCTCAAAGTATCTTCATTTTCTCTTATGGGCAAAGTGTAAAGAAGTAACTTAAGATAACTGCTCTTTTCCCTTTTGTTAGAGGAAAATGTCATTGAAAAAAGCAAGTCTAATCAGTAAATCATGTTTGAGTTAAATGTAGTACAGTCATAGCATAGTTATAAGTAGACTTGCAGTGTTGCTGTGCACTGTTACTTGTTTGGGTTACAGATAGTGTAAAAATAGAGAGAACTCCACATTTGCTTGTCCTTCTGATATATTTACTGAAAATACTATGTTTTTGCCTGCTACATGCCTTTCTGTCAGGAGTAGAATACCTGTGTCAGTTGAATTAAACTAATGAGGCAGTGTTTCTCTATTGTAACCAACAGAGCAATACTTCAAGTCAGCTGGAATGACCCTAAATGAGAGGTTCACTGCATATCAAAAAGCTACTGAAGAACACTGCACCCGGCAAAAGAGCCCAGAAATACATAGGTACATATTAAATTAATTGCATATGTAGATGCTTTGTATTTCAAAAAGTTATCTGCTAATATTTCATTTGAGAACCCCAAATACTTTTTCCTAATCTATGTGGAGTAATTTGTCAGTTTCTGTCTAAATACAAAACTTTTTTTTTTTTTAAATAAACAAAAAAAACCACTTTCCTTGAAAGAGAACTCACTTGAGCCAACTCTGGCTTCATCTGTAGCTTTGAAACAGATGTCTTCTCTGCCTCTGTCACAGTGCTCAAATATTGAGGGGCATTTGTTTAGATGACGAAAATAAGCCTAGTAACATGTCTGGATTTTTCAGTGTGAAATGGTCATCTTAACTTCTTTAGTCCTTGTGCATGTTAATTTACAGAACTTACAGCAGGATTTTTTTTTGAAAAAAGTCTGAGAACCTGAAAGGTAAGAGGGTAGGTGTGCAGATGTAATTTTTGATCAAGCACTTTAGCTATATAAGGTTGTGTACTATATTTGATTGTGTGGCATGTGAGGTTATATTATCTCCATGTAGGAGATAATATACGAGGTAAGTATTTCTACTGTGTTACAAACTGTGTTATAATGTTAATTGAGTCGAGGGGGAGGGAGGGAGGGAGTGAAGGCTGCCTACGTTTACTGATCTTCATCCATTGAGCTTTTTATATCTTCAAAATCATGGTTAAAATATGAAAATCAAACTGCATGTTTTCTGTGTTTGTATTTTCTGCATATTTCATGGAGCAAAATCAAGGGTTTTCATTTTTAATCTACTTTTATATCTATTCTGATAGTGGGGCTTTATATTCAAAAAGTTTATTCTACTGCAAAAACGCCTTTTTTCCTCAGATTTCTATTGGGAAGAAATGTCTGAAGCCATAAACAGTCACATACACATATGGCTAGACACTGCTTTTATTTTACATTTAGGAGGATTGACATCTCTCCAAGTGCCCTGAGGAAGCATACCCGTTTAGCAGGTGAAGAGAGAGGCTTTAAAGAAGAAGGTCAAAAAGTAGGTTCTCAGTAAACATGCTAGCAGTATTTCTAGTCTTAGTTTGATGTGCTTTCTTTTGAATCTGAACTTCATGTGTGTATAGAAATCTTCAAAAAGTAGTTTATATTTTTCGTGTATGGAGTACTTGAATTTTGACTATTTTTTTATTTTTGACTTTTGAGTAAAACACACGGGCAAGAAATCAGCTTATACAGTGTGAGATTCTGCTGTATTGATAGTGTGGCATTATAAGGATAAATCTCCTACCATTCCTTTCTTCTCTTGGACACTTTCTTAGCTAATTTTGTGGCACTAAGCTGCCTAAGGACAAAGAGTAGGAGAAAAAATAAATACTGAGGTTGTCAGTGGGTGTTATGGTTGGATGGAATTTAGGTGCTTATGCTCTGCTAAAAACACCGCTGGCCAGAAGAAATGTGTACTTGGGTATCTTCCCAAACCACGTGTTATAGTTTGTCTACGTCAAAAAGTAGATCTTACGTTGGCTTGGTGAGAACGCTTGCTCAAAAGTTAAATTCTTAACCAAATTTTTAGCTTAGCTTTCTCTTTTTAGACTAAACAATTGCATGTAAAGGGCTTCCACTAGAAGTCAGCTTATATGCTGAAGAGTCTGTTGAAAACTAGGTAATCCTGTCTTTTCTTTTAGAAAGTTGAGGTATAATTTGCCTTTTTGTTTAGATTGTCTTCTGGATGGTTAACTTTAAAATCTTGTTTTTGAAATATATTTTCACTTATAGGGAGATAAAAAGCTAAGGTGTGATTCTGCTGATCTTCGACACGACATTGACCGCCGTAGAAAAGAGCGAAGTAAAGAACGAGGAGACTCAAAGGGTTCCAGGGAATCCAGTGGGTCAAGAAAGCAGGAGAAAACTCCAAAAGATTACAAGGATTACAAATCTTACAAAGATGACAGGTAAATATTTGAAGTTGCTATGTAGGTTTTTAGCTTCTAATTAGCCTTTTGTAATTGTAAGCTTAATTGCTTTCAATTTTCAATGTGTAATGGAATATTTAAATTTAAACAATTAAAATTATTTGTTTTACAGCAAAAATGTATTATCTGTCTTTTACACGGCTTATGGTGGATGAGGACAAAAACTTTGGAATAGCAAGCTAACACTGAAAAAAAAAATGACAAATTAATCTGTCCTATTATCCAGGCTACATCAGGAGGTTGGACTTCAATGCAGTACATTTCTATAAACAGTTTGTGTAAGAACTTTGGTTCGTTATGCTTGATTCCGCACTTTTTCAACTCATAACACCCAGAATATGAGAAATTTACTGATGTTTAGGTTTAACATGGGTGAGAAGGGGAGTATTTATTTTCTTTCTAAAGCCAGTGGGCTGCTTTTAAGAAAAAGATGTTAGCATGTTTCAGTGGATACTGTGTAGCAGTGGTAAGAGTTGCTTCAGGTATGACTGACCTTTGGATATTACTACATTAATTAAAATCTTGTAAATTGGGTTGAATTAGTGCCACTATGGGGTTACTGAAAGTCTTACTATAGGGTTTTTTCCTGCTTTATACTGGGTATACAGTGAATTTTTACTTATGCTTTCTTTTTCCCATTTCCTTTCTGATTTTGGTATCCACATTGCCTTCCACTGGCTAATTCTGTACAGGCATCTACATAGGGAAGCCCCGACCATATCTGCTTCTCAACAGTGTGCAAACTGAATTATGTAGCTATTGCAAAATTTTGCCTTGAGGGTTTTCTTCCCTTTGATTTCTGTTTTTCTGCCTCAGAAGAAAGGCAGATTTTAAAAGAAAAAATAGCAGAACCTCTTCATGGCATCAAATCCTAGAAAAACTGTTTTGCAGTTTGCAGACTGCTGCTTTCCAACTCATTAGCAGTAGTATAAATGTAATGCATTTAAATGTATAAGAGGAGGCTGGAAAGTGAAACTATACTTCAGCTTAACATCTGAAATATGTAACTTATATGTGACTTTATAACCAGAAGGGAAGATAGGTTTTTTTCCGTAAAATATAAACAGAGACCCCTTTTTAGTATAGCTTGTTGCAGACTATAGTACTTTTAAAGTAGCACACAGTATATCTTTTTATTTTTCAGTAAACAAAAAAGAGAGCAAGACCGTTCTCGATCCTCCCCATCTTCTTCTCCATCTTCTTCCTCATCCAGTTCTCGAGAAGAAAAGGATAGCAAGAAAGAAAGAGATGAAGAGTTCAAAACCCACCATGAGCAGAAAGAATATTCCAGTTTTGCAGGAGTCAACAGGCCAAGAGGAACCTTTGTAAGTTGCTGTTTTCCTATTCTTACCCCAAATTATGAATACAATATTATTGTTGTGATGCAAAGATTCACCTTCTCAAAACTGAGATATAAAGAATGAGCATCCCCAAGAAATTGTGTTCAACAGCGTATGATAGTATGCTTGCTTCAAAGTTGCTAAGTCTAGAAATCATAGTACTGAATCTTGCATTCTTTCACGCCATGCAGCAAACTGGACAGCATTTTATTAAAAGTCTATCCAACAGCAGCTGTTTGGTGTGTAGAAGTGTAATAAAATAGTACTGAGACAAAGGATGAAAAAAATCTTGTTTATTCCTTGTTAATTTGCAATTATGTCATTTCTTGGGAGGATCTTATCTTTATAAATAAGTCAGATTTAAAATCTTGTGATGTATTGCCTCTTACTTCCTCCAGCTTCTGTTTTTCCCATCATTTTCAGTTTGATTTTTGCCCTCTCTGTAGACGTCTGCAGCTTGTTGCTAAATAGAATGTCAAATAATTAGAATGTACACAAACCCTGAGGCAGCTGTATGAAGGAAAGAAGATGGTATACTGGATGTTGTTTTTCAGTGTGTTCTCTGAATGGCCTCGACTAGTAACAGTGAGCATGAAAGCTTATTAATTTAGCTCTGGAATGTACTTTAGCATTGTGATTTGGAAGTGCTATATTGATCACCATGGCCTTCAGAAAATTTTTTAAGCCACTAATCAATAAAAAGGTAAAAATGCATGTTAATATAATTTACTAATATTTAATGGGGAAATGTAGAAGCATTAGGAAAGATGAAGAAACGGTAGAGGAGGCCTTGGAAAGATGAGGAATGTGGAAAACGAGTGATACCCTGAAAATAAAGTTCCATTTGCAGGAGGAGAAATGTCAGATAGCCTGACTCAATGGGCAAAGATGATTTCATACTTTCTCAGTTCTTCATGTAGCCCATAATTAAGACTAAGCAATGCTAAAAGGCTTTGCTTCGTACAGATATGTTTGATACAAGTATACATTCAATTTTTGTTTGTAATTGTGTAGAGGAATGTTTTGAACTACATACAAGAGCATGTCTGAAATGTATCTGGATTGTGCAGTGCTGACTTACAGTTTGCATCTTAATCTAAAAAGGTGAAGCCACTTTGAGGGAAAACTCAAAAGTACAAAAATATTTATAATGATAAAAATATTTCCTTAATGAGAAAAGAGGACAAATTTTATATAGTTATCCTGAACAGCTGTGTGGCCTAAATGGATATATCATTCAATGGTGTAGATGTCAAATATGACAACGTCAGCACGATCCCTAGGAGTATAAGCTAGTGGCACAGAGTTGAAACAAAAGATGAGCAGAACTTAAAAAAAACCCTCTCCTTTCTCTAAGAGAGTCAGTTCCATAATTGCTGGAAAGCCGTACTGCTTTATAGAAACTAAGCTGTATGTGTCACGAGAGGGTTGCTACTCTACATGTAATTTAGGTAGGTGTGCGCTGTAAATTTAATAGGCCTCTGCTACTTCTGACTACTAGCGACTGCCAATTCTGACTACTCAATAATCAGTGGTTAGTATTCCCTAATGACATAAATAGTCACACCCATAGGCTTATCAAGCAAACTGATTGAACAAGAGAATCTAAACAGATAGGCCAACCTGTTGTCTTAAGTCTTCTATTTAAGATTACAGACTGGAGAATATTGAAAGATCTAGACTGGCTGGTCCAGAAGTGTCTGTGACCCAAGGCTAATACTGCATCCAGTTAACTGCATCCAGTAAATATTGCTTTGGTTTTGAAGTGAATAAGTTTTGGTTGCAATCAAGACATTTTATTTCATGCGGGATATGCTGGGAGAGAATAGCTGGCTGGGTAGGAGAGATTTTAAAGGAAGTGAAGATTTCATGTTAAATCAGTGCTGATTTTTTTTTTTTCACTAACACTTAGTAATAGACTGTAATGTTTAATTTTAGGGTTTTTGTACATAATAGAAAACCATAAATGTTACGAATAGCTTTGAAGTAGAAATACAGAAGTAAATTCTTTTAATGATGTTCTCTTTAGTATCTAGCTCCTAAAGGAATTTGTCTGTAAATAGTATGAGTAAAAGGAGCTTTTTGTTTCTATAGAAAAAGTACTGTCTCCTTTTTGTGGCAATCTTTGCAATGAATCGTGCATAGAGGTAACACAGTACTGGGCTCATCTCCCGTACTATTTTGCCTGAAAGATAACTTCAAAAGCCGTAGACATGTTAGAGGGAATCCAGTCATAGGACTGAACACCAGGAAATGCTGATCTCATTTTTAATGGTCTTGTTATCACTTTGTTTCTACATCTTTTTTTGCCTACTGCAATACTACTCTTTATGCCCTAATTTTGTAAAAGTTCCAAAGCTACTGGAAATCAAACTTTTTTTTTTCCTTTCTTGTAGCTTTTCTTTAGGCATTTATGTGTCACTTTCTAAATGATTCTTAAAACAATTCTTTTTTTAGTTTGCCTTTAGTATATCGATAGGTCATGTGAGTTCTTTACTGGACTGTTTGTAATCTATTTCAAAGTACTGTTAAAGCTGTCTTGGGTAAATTATGCTTGGGTGGGGCGGGGGGTGGGGGGAAGTGTTGGAATTGAGTGGGAGCAGGTATGCATTATACTCCTTCCAGGTGAGTTAGTTCCATCTATGTTTATGGACGTGCCTATTTTTTCCAAATTAATTTCTAGTCATACTGTTTTGTATAGTTACATCTGAAGACCTTTAACTAGGCTGGTTATGGAAAGCATATTCTCTAGTAATTACAGGTTTTAGGGTAGCTTGGCAAGAGAGACTGCTTTCTTTTCCTCTCAAATGGAGGCTATCTAGATAAACTGTTAATGTTTTCTACAAGCTAAGGATTTACATGCAGAGGAAACTGAATATATTACTTTTCAGTGTATTTTGAATCAAGTGTTTTCTTTGCTATGAGACTAATTTTTAACTTAATATTTTAACATCCTGTTAATTTATTGCAAAGAAGCACATTTAAGACACTTAACTTTACTCCAAGTGTCCTTTTCTTCATATCATATGTATTTTCTAATAAGGCACTTAAACCAAATTAAGTTTCAAATGAGTGAAGTATGTGGTTGAAGCTCAGCTGAGAACATTTCATGAATAACACCGAGTGGACACACTTATTCTAGCATTGTTTGTACATGTTTATTTTAGAAATACATTCTCATAACAGATAGGACTGAATGACTCCATAAATGACAGGCTCTTGTTTTATCTCTGTGGTTCCCCCCCCTTTCTTAAATCTAATTTTTCTAGCTATTTTTATCTGTAAAAAGCTTCAGAAGTCGTCTTCTGACCTTTTGTTGCAACAGACTGTTTTGCCAGGAGTCAAAGGAGATTTCTTTTTGGTGGTTGTGGGTAAATTTATACCAAAACTTGATAGATGTGTTTCAGATTTTAAGCTTAAGAGAATTGTTATCTCAAAAGGAATGCTTAAATACATTATTTAGTTTTAAAATTCGCATATTACCTTGATTTAATTAGGTATGTTCTAATTAAGAAGAGAAAAAGCATTTTGAGTAATACGGAACTTGGATTTTTGCTTTGTGGGTTATGTGAATGGATTAAATAACACTTTCGTTAATCAGTTTCGAATTAGGGGCAGAGGAAGAGCCAGAGGAGTTTTTGCTGGAACAAATACTGGTCCCAGCAATTCAAATACTACTTTTCAAAAGAGACCGAAAGAAGAGGAATGGGATCCTGAATATACCCCAAAAAGCAAGAAGTACTTCTTGGTGGGTGTGGAGAACTCTCTCTAATGCATGCGTTTGTTTTCTCAAAGTGCATTTTACATATGATGTTAAGGAGATTGTTTCTGCCCTCTTGATACTCTTGTGGTTGTAGCTGTCAATGATTTTAGTTTTATAAAAATGAGAGCATCGGGATTTCTGTAGTATCAGATTCTGCTTCTCTTGCACCCTTCTGTGGCAGACTGGCACTAACTGAAGCTTGAGATGGAATGTGTTCCTTGAACTCCTTTTCATCAGTGAGGTGGGGAAGAAGGTAGACTTGGACTAAATTATTAAAAACAAATTTAAAACCAAACAGACTTGCACTGTTTGCTTTCCTGGATTTATTTCGAAATGGCACTCAAATCTTCGTATTCTTCTGTCTGGAAATCTGCAGAAGTGAAAGATCAGGAAAAGCTGACAGTATTTGTGGATGGATGTGGGTTGTCTCTGATATTAGCAGCCCTGCTGCTCTCAGTTAAATAGTGTGATGGTCATTTAAAAAGAAAACAAACAAGCGAAGACTCCCCTGCCCCTCCATCTTGATAATGAAAGGAGGGCTGTCAATGTAACTACCCAGTAAGTAGCTTAGTATACTGAGTAGGTAGCCTCTGTTGTAGTTGACTTTCCTAACAATACAAGCTAAGTAAGATTGTTTTACTGTTGAGAAAAGGTTAAATAGTGAAGATCAGACCTTCTCCTGTGGCATCCATTTTTCTTAAATATGTTAGCAGGTAATCCAAGAAAGAGTGTGATTATATTCAGAATGTTTATACAAGAAGTGCTCCAGTGATAGTTTCAGAAGGAAGTTATATAGTGTGTGTGTGTGTATATAGTAGAATTAAAATATTTTGAACTTCAAGCATTTGCCACTAGCAAATACTTACAGTACTAGAATACAGCTATATGCATTAAACCAGAAATTTTGGTTATGTAAAACAGAATATCCAAAAAAAAGGCACTTTAAAACCTGTATCGATCTGAACAGGAAACCTGGGAATTACAGCTTGCTTTGTCTTAACGTTAAGAACACTTTCTTATCAGAAGTTTAAACTTAATTCTTCTTAACCTATAACTATCTATTTTATACTTGAACAGATGCTGGAAATTGTTGTATGATCCTTATTTAAAGTCGTAGATTCATAGCTGTCCTTACTGAAGAACTTTACCAAGGTGGTATGAGGGAGAAGCTGTGTTATTGAAAACGTACAGGATTGTAAAGCTGTTTGATACCTTAACAAGTAGGGTGGATGCAAATTAAGAGCTCTCAAATGTGTTTATATTTAAATAATATATTTTCTTAAATTACACTGGCAACCTTAGTGCACATTCTTCATTTATTTTAAAATGTGAAGACTAAAGTAATTACTTGATACCTAGTCGTAAAGAATGTCATACCACTGGAGTTTTATTGTTCATAGTATGTGTTCAAAACATTCTACGTCAATATGTTCTGCTTTCATGCTGTGAAAAAGCTAGTTCTCTTCTTTCAAATCAGTTAACTAACAATCAACTTTTCTAACCCATAAACCTGGAAGGAGATGTGATGATATATTCTTTAGGAAATCCTCATATAATAGCTAGAACAAATGAATTAACTAACCGTAGCTGATTTTTTTTTCCCTCATCTCACTTTAAATGTTAAAAAAACCTAACTATTCCTAAAATATATTACTGTTAATACATTCTACACCTTTTTGAAGGTTTATTTACTACAGCTCAAATTTCTTTCTAAATCACAAATTAAAAAGTAGAAATTGAAGCAAGTGTCCCTCACCCTTCTAAATATAAGCATCTTGAATATCGATAGTGTTCGTATAAATCTGACAATCGTTCAGTGCATTATTAAGGTGTGTAAAGGCTATATTTGGTAGCAAGGTGGCAAACTTTAAGCTTATTAACCAGTATAACTCAACTTTTACTTATTAATGTCAAATTTAAATAGCTAGTTTGAAATCCATTTGCCCCGCTGTGCGTGGGTGAAGCAGGGTTTCTGAATACTGCCTTCTGTTATCTTTCATTAATAAGTATAAAGAACACTTGAATCTCTGCACTATTACAGTAAAATAATATATTTTAGAAGCACGTTCCTAGAGCAGAAGACACAGAATTACTGCCCAGAACTAGTGAGTAACCTACTTATCTGTCGCTGTTATCCTCAGTTGTAAGAAAACTAGTTTGTTACCCTCAGCCATGAGAATTTGAGTAGACCCACAGCTAGTAAAGGTTCTTAGAAAAACTTTAGGAAGGTATGTTTGGTTGTAGCACTATGGATTATAAAGACATCCTTTGTAATGTAATCTATAGATTATGATCAATGTTTTTCTAACAGTTCAGATCATTTTTGTATATATAGTCTATATTTTATATGGAATACCAACATTTAAGAGGTACATCAGTGTTTTAACCTTATTCTTTGCATTATTATTGTAGCATGATGACAGAGATGATGGTGTAGATTATTGGGCCAAAAGAGGAAGAGGCCGTGGTACTTTCCAGCGTGGCAGAGGGCGTTTTAACTTCAAAAAGTCAGGTAGCAGTCCGAAGTGGACACACGACAAATACCAAGGGGATGGGATTGTGGAAGATGAAGAAGAAACAATGGAGAACAATGAAGAAAAGGACAGGCGTAAAGAAGAAAAGGTACCCAGTTCTGTTAGTGAACTGCAGATGGTTTTCTTTGCAGTATCCGAAAGAGTTATATGAAAAATCACTTTACAAGATTTTTGGAGCTCTGTACCTGACAATTTACAAAACTCTTTTCTTTCTCTCCACAGGAATAACCCTGGAAAAAAGTACTAGCTGAAAAAGCAGCCCTTGCACCACCCACACAGCATTTTTAATATGTTTTTTGTTGTCAAATGAATGTAAGCATTTTACTTAAATTTTACTGTTGGAAAGTAGTTTAGAGGGATTGTTTTTGTTTTAAGCCTTTAGAAATCTTGATATAGTAAACTATGTTAATGATCGTACAGGTAGAAAGTAAAATATTTGTAACAACTTTTAAGAAATTTTACTGTTTGTTATATGCAGTGTAATTCTGCTTTGTCCAAATATATGGTCAAGTACAACTCTAAAAGTTTTGATTCTCCCCTATGTCTGTGTTTTATTCTGAAGTAAACTTACAGCTCTGCACACCTGAAATCTTGGAGGATCATTTATTTTATAAACAGACTACTAAATCTGTGTTGCTGTTTTGTTAGAAATGTTTTTGAGCTGTGACTGGACAGTTTTATTCATGTGTGAGCAGTTATGCATAATATTATCTCCTACTTCAACTAGTTCACAAGGATCACATTTACACAGTGTGATGAAATGATAAAGTTAAACCAGGATTATCATTCTGTCATGCCAGAGCAGCTTGAATTCTGTCTTTGAGAGCAAAATATCCCTCTAGCCTGAGGAATACGTATGTATATAAATACTCAAGTGAGATTCAAGTGTATTATTTTTCCTTCTGCAATGTGAGTTTTTGAAACTTATTTCCGAGCTACCGTGGCTGAAAACCTCCAACAGATCTGAAAACTGGAGCTCTCCCCCCTATTTGTACAGATACTGCAAAACAACCTAAGAGCAGCTTATTTCCTGTAACTTATGTCTAGAACAGATCAGTCATGTGAATATGAATACCTAGTGATTTACACTGTCACTAAAAGACTTTTCCATTTGTAAAGTGCTTAAGATTTTATAATGAAATGGTGTTATCGCAGCCATCAGGGGTTATAGTTTCAGCTATCTGATAGCTCAGTCACCAGTAGAATGCTTTAGTCAAGAAATTTGTGGTAGAATTAAGCCAGCTTCCTTTTGTATCAGTTCTTGTTCCAGTTTATGAACTTAACTTTTTAATTTCTTTATAAGGACTTTTCAGGGAAATATTATCTGGCAGGAGTAAGTTTTCTACCACATTTATAGCCTTAAATGAAATTTGGAAAAAAAACAGAGAAAAACAAAGCAAGATATTTCAGAAACTGAATCACTAAAATATCCTGAATATACTAAACATTTCTATAAAGTTTGAATTCCATCACAGTGCTCTGAAATTACGTTCCTCTAGTATTCCACTTTATACAATGTGTGAATCTGAAGTTTTAACTTGAGAGTAAAAGTTAAGCTGGCAATAAGTGTGGGAAATGACTCTGTCTTCTCTTCCACAGTAATTTATTATTAATTGTGCTTCTAATATGTTTGTAGCAAAAGTTAGTCTACAGTTGAAAAACAAAAACCCACAAAATTTACTGGTAGGTGCACTTTTAACATCCAGAATGCTAAGGATGACAGTAACATACCTGAATTACCAGAAAAAGGACACTTATAGCAGTGTAGCTATAAAGCATATTGGGTTGAAGTTTTTGAATTGTGCTTTTACATGAACTTAAATAGCTGAGAAGCAAGAAAAGTTCTGAAGACTTTTGTGCATAACCTGTAGAGGCCAGTAATAAAGAGTTGAGTTTATAAGCTTAAACTATGCTTCCCTCCTAATTGTAGAAATTTTTAAAAACGAAAAGTTTTCTTAAAAGCTGCTTTTAGTTTGTGAAATAAGATCAGTAAGTATATTCACGTTTGGAACTTACCCTGTTTTTATATGCTTAATGTTAAGACACATCTTCCTTTCAGGTACATGGTTGTCTATGGAGAAGACAACCTTTTAGCTTTCCTAATACCTTACTCTAGGACTTGTTCTTAATGTTTTTGTATTTAGTCCTACCAGGAAGCTAACAATGGATGGAGAAATTAATGTGATGGAATATGAAATACTGCATGAGCATTTTTTTTTTGTTGGCTCAGTAAAGTGAAGCAAGTGAGACCCACCAAGTGATCAGTTTTTCAGCTTGAGCATCTCACCTTATAAAAATGCTAAAGCTTTTCTAAGCTGACATATAGAACTTGTATCTAGAATTATTTACACACAAAATATCTAAATAGATGGGTATTAGCTTATAAGTTAAAGGCAGGGCACTTTTTAGCATCCCCAGGCACTTGGGTAACTTGAAAGCTTTTGTTTTAGTTACAGTCCAGGGGAGGAAGAACTGTAGCTAATCAAATAAGACTACTTAGATTCTTCTTTCTCAGACTGCTATAGCTGTAGTGCATCTTAGTATGTTATATGGAGTTAACAGTGTAATAGTTTATCCACTGGAATGACATAATGTTTAAAAAAAATATATTTTATAGACTTGTGTTTGTATTCTATACAGGTATAATGTATGCCCCCTTACTTGCTTTAGTGTTAAGGAGTAGTTAACCAGCTGCTCTAGCAAAAATAAATGGTAGAAGGCAGAAAAACACATACTGTCAATAATCCTAACAATATTTGAGAAATTGTATTTAAAATTCCACTGGCTTGCCAGCATCTCTGTAGAAAGGGGAATAGAATTAACATTTGCCCTTCATTAGTAGCTGCCAATAAGTAAATCCTTCTGCCTTATGCTTGAGGAGGTTTAAGCAAGCCATACCTCTGTTGCAATATCTGCTTTTACATGTACAGTGCATCTTTTGATAGCTGTTTGAAATGTAAAAGTGATTTTTTTTCTTTGACTTCTGGCAGAGCTTCCCTTGACTCTTTAGTGAAGCTTGATCACACAGACTTCATGTATGCTAAATCAGAAAATGCAAGAAAAGGTTTTGTTCCAGATAAATTCGGCTGCAGTGCCAATGTTATCCTAATAGAGCTAACTCTAACATCAGTCTGTAAGTAACAAGTAGGAGCAAGATACACTTTAACTACCCTAACCTTAGAACAAATAGTCTCTATCATCTAGGTCTAGTTAAAATTGGTTTGTCATGCGGGTCTTAAGATGGTCCCTGCCTAACAATACATATATATGTAAAAGCTTTCTTCCTCAGTGAAAGCCTGAAGAAATCTGGTAGACTGCTTTGGTAATGTCATTTGATCCTTATATATTCTCCTTTCTTTACCTCTTGTCTTTTCCAGGCTGAAATGGAACTTATTCAGGTGATAGGTATTCATCTTCATTGTTCAAAGTGGGGATGCAACTCTCTCTTCTACAGGGGCATGTTTCCTTTTTTGCTACTTTCTTAGTAATTCTAATTTCATTTGCTACTTACTGCTACTAAGTTCACTTTTTCATAAAACTATTCAAAATGACTCCCTAGTGGAAGCCAATTTGCAGCCAACTGTTGTGAATGTAAAATTGGGACCGCTTGTCTTAACATACATTCCTTTAACCTGCACTGGATTTACCAAATGTCTTACTTTACCAAACGTACTCATCGTCAATCCTTGTGCTGACTTGCTCTGCATAGCCTTTTTCAAAATGTCAGCTAATCCTTTCCAGATCATTCATATTGTCATGGACTCCAAGGCAGAACCTTGTGGGACTCTATCAGTGGCCTCCTTTCATCATGCAGCTTTTACACTTATTCATCTATTTGGCAGATGGTCGTAATAATTTGGCTAAAACATTGAGGATACATTTCTCATACACTTCAGCTTAACAGCCTTTAGCAAGAGAATCGCTGACCGCTTCCTGGAACTCCCAAGTAAATACCAAACTTCTATCTATATTTTTAATGTCCTCAGGTAACACGCTTGACACAAACGCTTCCTTTTGGAGAAGCATTCTTTTTCAGTACAACACTTCCTTCTTGTTGATCTGGGACTCACGTCCAGTTCAAAGTTTAAAATCAATTTTTTTACTTGATAACTTTCACTAAAATCAAAATAGTGGTGTTTTTGAATCAGAATCCTTCAAGATATTACGGCATAAGTCACTGCACTACAAAACAGTTAACGTATAATCAGAAGAGACGGTTGTCATTTTTATCTCAGAGCTTCAGCAAGTTGAGGAGTTGCAGGCAAATATGTTAAGAGGAGGAGGCTGATTAAAGATGGGAAACCTATCTTTACAGAACAGAAACCTAGTTTTGGGAGGAGCTTCAGTTTACAGCTGATTTGGAAGATGCGATATTTCCTGGCTGGTGTAGAGTCAGCAGACTTTAAATGCTCAAGCAAACGGCCAACCTGTCAACACAATCAGATACCAGAAGCTGCAGGTAGTTCTATCAAAGCTAGGAAAAGGCAGGCTTCTCTAAAGTAATTGCAGGACTGAAGCAATTTAGTTTGCTTATACCTGCACCAAAAGCAAACTGCTTTGGAACTGAAGGTAGCTCATACTAACTTGGAGCATTTGTGTAAGCTTGCACAGCATAGATGGGGCCTGTAGCATCTCTTTACAAAAAGAATTTTAAGGAGATGAGAAATTATGGGTAGTGTTGAACTGCAGCCTTTCAAAAGTTACTTTTGGAGGTATATTAAAGCTAGAAGATTGCTGCTCTTTTGAATGTTCCAGTAAGCACCATCACAGCAAAGACTTAATCAGGTGTAGCTGTCCACCTTTATGGTAATGCTGCTGATTGCTTCTGGGATGTAGATAAATGTAAGACTTTAATTCCCTTTCTTGGTTTGGAATTGTGTAACTACTGGATTCCGCTGCCGCCCCCCCCTCCCCCCGCCTACTGAAGAAATGAATGTCTGATTTTTCTCTGAACCGCAGGGAAAACTTTGAGCTTCATAACCATACATGCAGAGATGAAGCAGATTCAGAAATTGATTCATTACTGGCTAGCAATGAGTCAGAATGAACTGCTTATCTCAAAATGTAGTTAAAGAGCTTACATAAGTACCAGAGTGGATTTCCCCCCCCACCCCTGCAGATGCATCAACAACAGTTTTTACCTTCTAGCAAAAGACTTACAGAATGCGCTGAGCACTTCTGTTCACAGTAGTCACACAACTACTTCAGAAGAACCAAGTGGTAACTTCATGTTTTTTCTTACTAATTACAACAAGACAGCAAAAATTTACTCTACATTGAAGGACCCAATGTGATAAGTGCTGAAGCATTAGTTTTGGAGTTGATAACAAAAAAAAAAATCTCAACTTCTATTTAGTTATTTCTTACAAATCTTTGTAAGAAATAGAACCGTGTTCCACTATGCCCTCTTGCTATTCCTGGTTTTATTTTCATACCTCTCATTCCTGAAAGTAATTGGTTTAAAAGACATGATGTTTCTTCATGCTGTATATCACGCAGAAAGTGTGAAGATACTTGCAATGTACATCAGCTCAGAGAAGTTATAGTGCACCTTCAAAGAAAATTTTGTCAAAGGATGTGTAAGTAGACCATTTCTGAATAAAGAAGTCTCAGGGCACAGGAAATAAGGAGGTTATTCTGTCAAAATGCTGTTTATCAGACAGTGGAACACTGCACACTGATAAATTAATTTGATGCAGCATGGTCTACTCTTAACCTCTAGCCAGTATTTTATACTTATTATAAAGGTTTATTTTTTTCAATCATTTTGTTTCTTTCCAGCTTCTTAAATATCTTAATCTGCCAGCAAGGGCTTAATCCATGTTAGTGGTTTCAACATCTTTTATAGATGGTCAGAAAAGTCATTATGAAGCCATTTAGTGTAAGACCCAAATGATAAAATTTGTCAGTATTACAGAAAGGCCTGTCCAGCTGACCTTAAGAATACTTACATATTACAGGAAGCTCACAAGTTAATTTGCCTGCCCACCCACCTTCTCCTCTTGTGTCTGTGTTTTCTATCAATTACTTCAAGACAGTTAAGAGAGAGTTATTTGATTTCCCGTTTCATTGCCAGAGTTCTAGTTGATTAGTTTCTAATGAGTTTCCACATTTCATTCTCTGAATGATACTGCAACTCTAGTAGTGACTGGTGAGTTTCAATATTTCTTTAAAACTGTCAACTTCAGTTGAGTTGTTTACCTTTTATTCAGGTCTTTGGTCTCTCCATAATATAAAATTATTTTGTCATAATTGCAGAATGCAAAGGGAATTCTGAAAGATAAAATGCTTGCATGAGCAAGACATTTTTAAAATTTGAATGTTATTTTCAGACAATAACTCTCACAGCAGAAATGTGAGCAATGCAGAACTTTCTACTATAAACCAAATTCCAGTTAGAGGAGTTCAGCTAGAACTTAAATTCTACTACCTCATTTAATTAGGAGGGAACACAAACTTTAGTTAATATGAAACTATTGCAAATAATGAGGACCAAGTTCTGCCTCTGGTCAGCATAGTATCAAAGTAGCAATTTAAAAATCGTAGTTTCTTGTAATTTCTTTTGCTAGTAGAAAGCACTACTAATTTTATTTTAAAATTCCTTTGATTGCCTTATGCTGTATGAATAGCCTTCTTCAGAACTTCTCTAGGTTGGAGTCTTAAGTTGAAAAGAAATTAAAATTACAATGAAATAAAATACCTGGTATAGTGCTGCTGATGCCC